AAAAAAAAAAAAAGAAAAGAAATACTGTTTTCCATCCTTTAACCCTGAGTCTTGATTTGTCCTTCCAGGCTAAGTGCGTCTCCTAGAGGCTCCAATTTTCTGGGAAAGTAGAAAAAAATGAATGATAAAGTCAAAGGACAGTTATGAAAGCTAACTCAAGAGACTCATCTCCCTTGGACTAAATTGCTTTCCTTCATTCTCCTTAGAATAAAAAATTTACCTCAGAAAATCAGTTGTAGCCTATTTGAATTATTATATGGAAGACCCTTTTTAATTAACAATTTATTAGTAGATCAAGATACTACAGAATTAGTAAAACATATTACTTGCTTAGCTAAATTTCAATAAATCCTTAAAAACCTCTCAGTGCATTTTCACATTCAACACTAAAGGAATTTTTCTCTCCTGGAGAGCTAGTCATGGTCAAAACTCTTCTCTGTAATTCACCTTCCATAACCCCAACTTGGGAAGATCCTTTTTCTGTTATCTTGTCTTCTTCTACAGCTGATAAAGTTATGGGAATCAATTCCTGGATACATCGTTCACAAGTAAAATCCTGGAACCCACTGCCTTCTACAGAAGCAGACCATGAAGACAATCAACCACAGTCCACCTACACTTGTGAGCCTAAAGATAATTTAAAGTTATTGTTTAGGAGAGGCTGAGGAACGGGGTCTGGGCCGGCAGACCGGGGAACTGGGCGAGCAGCGGTGGTGGCCCGAGGGGTAAAAAAGAATCTCCCAGAGAAAACAAGGGCTGGAAGGGAGCCCCCTTTCTGTGAAACCACGTTTGTCAGTTTGGGGCTGTTATGTCTGTGCAGATTGTTGCAAGAGCTTCAAACTGTCTGCAGACATGCACAGCACCCGACCCGGGGCCCTAGTGAGGAGTGACCATGCAGTCCACAGCTGTGTCATGTCCACAGATGATTAAAACTAGCAAAAATGCGGCCGGGTGTCTGTGTGTTGAGGGGGGAGTTTACAGACTGTTTTTAAATTGTATTTTTACTGTTAATTTCCATATTCTAAAGGAAGACTTTCATTTGGTAATTTGTTTAATCAGTGCAAGTGAAATTAAGAAACAATGGATATAGAAAATGAGCAGATACTGAACGTAAACCCTACAGATCCTGATAATTTGAGTGACTCTCTGTTTCCTGGTGATGAAGAACATACTGGGACTGAGGAAATAAAGAATGAAATAAATGGAAATTGGATTTCAGCATCCTTCATTAATGAAGCTTGAATTAATGCCAAGGCAAAAAGGCGACTACGGAAAAACTCATCCCGAGACAGTGGCAGAGGAGATTCAGTTAGTGATAAGGGAAGTGAAGCCCTTACAAGTGGAAGTGAAGCCTTACAACTGTGCCAACCAGCCCAAAGGGAAGGTTGCTAGATAGGCAATCCAGATCTGGGAAAGGTGGTGCAGGAGGTAAAGGTGTTTGGGCTACACCTGGGCAGGTGTATGATGTAGAGGACGTAGATGCGAAAGATCTGAACTATGATGATGACCAGGAGAACTGTGTTTATGAAACTGTAGTTTTGCCTTTGGATGAAAGAACATTTGAGAAGACTTTAACACCAATCATGCAGGAATATTTTGAGCATGGAGATACTAATGAAGTTGCAGAAATCCTGAGAGATTTAAATCTTGGTGAAATGAAAAGCGGACTACCAGTGTTGGCAGTGTCCTTAGCATGGGAGGGGAAGGCTAGTCATAGAGAAATGACATCTCAGCTTCTTTCTGACCTTTGTGGGACAGTAATGAGCACAAATGATGTGGAAAAATCATTTGATAAATTGTTGAAAGATCTACCTGAGTTGGCATTGGGTACTCCTAGAGCACCACAGCTGGTGGGCCAGTTTATTGCTTTGAGCTGTTGGAGATGGAATTTTATGTAACACCTATATCGATAGTTACAAGGGAACAGTAGACTGTGTACAGGCTAGAGCTGCTCTGGATAAAGCTACCGTGCTCCTGAGTATGGCTAAAGGTGGAAAGCGTAAAGATAGTGTATGGGGCTCTGGAGGCGGGCAGCAACCTGTCAATCACCTTGTTAAAGAGATTGATGTGCTGTTGAAAGAGAATTTACTGTCTGGAGACATACCTGAAGCTGAACATTGCCTTACGGAACTGGAAGTACCTCATTTTCACCATGAGCTTGTATATGAAGCTATTGTAATGGTTTTAGAGTCAACTGGAGAAAATACATTTAAGGTGATTTTGGATTTATTAAAATCCCTTTGGAAGTCTTCTACCATTACTGTAGACCAAATGAAAAGAGGTTATGAGAGAATTTATAATGAAATTCCAGACATTAATCTGGATGTCCCACATTCATACTCTGTGCTTGAGCGATTTGTAGAAGAATGTTTT